AAAAGGAGTCAGAGACAAAAATGTGAGGAGAGATGTATGCAAGTGTGTGAGGGAGCACAGTTTGAAGCTGCTGGATCTGGCCTGAAATGACGGTAAGAACATTGTTACTTAGCCTATTATTAAAATATCTTTGTTTTTCAAGGGTAAGACTGGCACTACTTTGTCCTTATGTCATCATTAGCAATTATCAGATAATTAAAACTCATCCTTCTGTGCTGTAGAATTCCTTTTCAATCCAAAAACTATTAAAACACATAGAAGAGCCATGCTGTGGCAATGTGTGATAAATTCCTTTGTTACAAGGAACATGTGCAGTGTAATTACTCCTCTCGCTTATTCAAAGAAAACAATTTGTAATAGAGGGATTTGTAACGTAGAGCAACAGTATGCCTCTTTTATGTATGTTTATTAGTTTAGGCATGGAGGCATATGGTCTCTTCAGGAGATTTGTTGATCCTAATAAAACAACCAAAGAATGCCATCGCTATCCATTAATTTTCTTCATTATCACATACGTCCTATTTGATTTCGTTGACTGGTTGTTTTTTAACCTGTGAACAAATTGTAGATGTTTTACAGCCTCAGTCTATCTCCGCTCTTTAATATAAAAGCACTTGGAATAATAATTTTGCCTGATCTGTTTTTTTTTTTCCACAAAAAAGTTCAATTATTTTGTTGAAAATACACAAAATAACATGACTTTCACACTAATTCATTTTTTCCTCACTCCAGAATTGATTAATGTACAAATGTTGTTCATTTCAAATATTTAAGTGGATACAAAATGTCAAAACACTTGTTAAGTCACATATTACATTACAAATGGCTTCCAAACCATAGAGTTCACTGGATCAATTCTCAATGACTTACCCAAAATTAAGTTACTTGAGCACATGATTCACTTGAGAAATTTAATGACTGGGTGCACATGACTAATATTTCGACAAACACTGTGTGACTCTGAAGAAAATGCAGAGTGCTGATCATTGTATACTTTATTAACTTTTATTACTTGTTCTTTTTTTTGTATTCCAGCTAACAGGTGGTTCAAAAATTTCAAAAACACACAAAGGGGAGCTATAACATTTTTTTTTTGCCTGCAGGTGGTACAAACGCTAAAATTGCAGCAGTTGTTCCTTACTTTGCCTGTAGGAGGCAAAAGTTCTGTGCAGTTTAGGATAAGATTTGTGAAATAAAAAAATAAAAAAAAAGAAGAAAGATCTGAAATAATTCATCTCAGATTTTAATTCCTTTACCATATTTATTAATTTGTTCTGTGTGACAGGTGAAAGCCACAAAACTGTAATCACACTTCTGTTGGGACGAGTGCCACAATGAACGTGACAGAAATCTACAAGGAAATCGCATACATCTACAGCGAGGGAAATGCTTCTCGCAATGGAAGCTTGGGTGAGCTGAACGCCCCCTCCCCCCTAAACCACGTCATCAACATCCTCACCATCATCACCCTCTCCATCACCATGATATCCCTCGGCTGTACGATGGAGATTTCCAAAATTAAGGCCCATTTGTTCCAGCCAGAAGGAGTCGCCATTGCAATGCTGGCCCAGTATGGCATCATGCCCCTCACTGCTTTCTGTCTAGCCAAAACCCTGCAGATGGATTCCATCAAGGCTGTGACTGTGCTCATATGTGGCTGCTGTCCAGGGGGAAGCCTATCAAACATTTTTTCCCTGGCCATTGATGGTGACATGAACCTCAGGTAAAAAAACCCTTATTGATGGAAATGCAAAGAAAAATACCGGGTGCTTTCGGTTATGTCATAGTGAGTCTCCAGGTGAATGCAAGGTGCTCTTGAAGTTGAAGTAAAGACACAGTGAAGCTGTAGAGTTAACTTCAGGCACACTCGCACAGAGCAGGGATATAATTAAAATGCCTTTATTTAGTTAGGGCATATCGGAGTAAAAATCGTGAATAAAGATCCCAAATAGGGGAGTAAAACGTCGACCAGTTTCGACCCCTACAGGGTCTTCCTCAAGTCATGGTTGGAGAAGAAAATGAAAAACCGACCAGATCAGTTAATGCCAATAATTTACCAATTTACCAATAATTTACTACTTAAGCTGTGTTGGCACAATATACTGTCATCAACGTTTCTGTCAAAAACTGGTCTGTTTGGTTTTTCACTTCCTTTTCCAACCACTCCTTGAGGAAGACCCTGTAGGTGTCAAAACTGGTCGACGTTTTACTCCCTTATTTGGGATCTTTGTTCTGGATTTTTACTCTGACATGCCCTAACTAAGTAAAGGCATTTTAATTATATCCTTGGCTCTGTGGGAGTGTGCCTGAAGTTAACCCTACAAATCTTTATTGATGTATTGCTTCCTGTCTTGTTGGAAGATTACAAATGGCTGCAATAATTTACTACTTAAACTGTGTCAGCACAATTTGCTGTCATCTACTTTTCTGTCAATAAACAGTGATGTACAAAACAAGAGCCTCATTTTGCATGTACCATTTGGGACTATTGACACGACAGTCTAATGTTTCTTTATCTCTCTGATACCCTCCCAGCATCGTAATGACCACATGCTCCAGCTTTGCAGCCCTGGCTCTGATGCCATTGCTGCTCTTCATCTACTGCCAAGGCTTCACCGGCCTGGAAAAAGCTGTCCCATACGCTGGCATCATCATGGCTCTCGCTCTCACTCTGGTGCCTTGTGCCATTGGCATTGCCATTAACCACTACAAGCCAAGCTACACGCCAGTGGTCAAAAAAGTGAGACTCCTGACATCTGCTTTACATTAACACAGCCAACAGATCATTTGATTCACTACCAGGAACCTGAAACAAACGCAGCTAAAAGGAATGCCATCATTGACATTACTATATACTGTGGTACTTTTCCTACTGTGACACATGAAACTGTCTTCAGAGAAAAAATAGTGAGCACAATGTTGTGTTTCCCAGAACTATTCATCACAGGGTGTGTATGTAATTTTGGGGCAAATAAACAGGAAGGTATGTGCAACAGGAAGCCGTAGTCTTATTATTCTAACTCAGAGCAGGCCTTGATGCTTTAAGATGATGTTTGAGAACCTCATGTTTTCTTATTCAGATTCACTTAATATTTAATGGAGCCAAAATAACATGCTTTCACTCAAACTGTCTTTCTCAACAGGTTGGTCTCAGCATCCTGACAACCTCCTGCATCATACTCTCTATCCTATCTGTCATTGCCACCAAAGACGTTCTATGGATGGCCCTCAAACCAGACATTGTGGGGACAGCTGCACTGATGCCACTGATTGGCTTTATGCTGGGATATGGCATGTCTGTCTTATGCAGACTCAATGCTCAGTAAGTGAACACACACAAGATATGCCTATCTTTGAGTCTGTTAAAAAGCCACTCAACACAGTAGCTCATATGTGTATCTGTGTCCGGATTACTACATATTGTATGTATACAGTGAGTCAGAGCACTATATTCTGTACTAATTTTTGCAGTAAAATCAATGTACTTTACTGTTTTGGACTAACAGGAAAAGATGCCATACATGCACAGACAAACAGTCGGCAACAAAGAGAAAACATGTTTTTTCCATAGACTAATTGTTTGTTTCTGATTTAAATGGTCTCACCACCATCCACAATTATTTTACATTTTTGCAGCTGTGAATAAGTCCCACTCTTCTCTTTTTGCTTTTTGAGAGAACTGTAAACATCTCTGATTCCCAACCTCTTTGGCTTGTGACTCTACAAAATGACACAATATCTGCTAGTCACCCCTCTTCACAGGGTATAGTCTTAGTGTGGACGTGATTTGTTAACAGTTCAGCTAAGGAGCAAAATTTTGCTTTTTGGGTTTTTGTTTAATACTTTATATTTTTGATGTGATATATTTCAATGTGGGACTTTTTCCTCTTGAGTATTCTTATATTGCAATGTAGTGAATTTCATTGAAATTATGGATTTCAATACTTCCTCCACAACCATATCATGGTAATATTTTAACCTGGGTTTTTAATTAATTGAATAATCAGTTAGAACAAACCTGTTACACCAAACACTGACTTTATTTCAACATTTCACAATGTTATTGCAATAACATTTCAGTATCAAATTCAAACAATGTTATATCAATATGATGTGATAATGACAGATGACTCACCTGTTTTTAGATGCAGCAGGACCATCTCCATGGAGACAGGGTGTCAAAACATCCAGCTGTGCTTTGCCATCATAAAGGTGGCCTTTCCCATAGATGTCATTGGAGCCATGTTTCTTTTCCCCCTGATATACATGACATTCCAGTGTGCTGAGGCCCTTCTCCTGGTCCTGTGCTTCAGATGTTACCAAAGATTCAAGGCACCAGCTGAGGGTAAATGTCACAGCTGCCTGTGTGTTTTTGTAGAATGAGGCTAGGAGGGCTGGAGGGGGTCATGCACTCTCTCCAAACTGTTTTTTGAAATCATATCAAACTACGCAAAAGTGTAATATTCATCATCATCATCAATCTTCACTATCTTACCGATACAGCAAAACACTGGAATGGTGACATTAAACAAGAGAAGTTGCAACAACCATGACAGCATCGTGGATCACAACGCAGTGCTGCACAGGGAGGAGAGAAGCGCCGAGTCCTACCTACTAAAGATATAGCTATTTAGTGCCCTCACTGTCTCTGTATCAACTGCTTACTTTTCACTCTGACCTGTGATACTAACAAAAAGACTGTTAGAGTATGTGTAACAACTAATACTTTAATTATTGTTCACTTAATCAAGTCTGTACACAGGGATTGTGCATGCTGAAGTAAAAAGCTTATTGCACATGACATTTTGTATTTATATTTTTGTATTTTTATAAGTTTTTATGACTGAATCAATTTTTAGCACATTTTGATTTCATTTTGTGAATTAATTGTTGATGTGTTATTTGCTATTAATACTTTCATTAAAATGTGTCAAACCAAAGAAAATGGTCAATCTCAGATATGAAAAGCAGTCTAATGAAAAAAGACGACAAAGGCGATGTGAACATCTCAAATATTTAATTAAAATGATCATATGATATATACAGAGCAAACTTAACTTAAAAATTTTTACATATATATTAAAATACCATCTTCACAAAAAAAAAAATCCATTCCTCAGTCCAAATGTAAACTCAATGGACAGTCAAAGTGAACACTGACATTACACTAAGCTATACACTTAACTTTTTTGTGTTGGATCTTCCCAGTCACTTTTACGGTGTCACATATAATGTGCCTGCAGTAGAAATCAAAGTGAAGTGGCAAAGTGAAAATAACTCCTTTTTTTCAGTTCCCAAGAGCTGTGGAAGCATCAAAAGAAGCCATGGCTGATCAACAGCATTCTGGACACAAATAAATAAAATACACATTTTCCTGATGTGAAACAGGAGTTTCCAAGCAGCCTGAATAAATTAAGAAGATAATATTTTCCGGTGTACAATTGATGTGTTTAACAAAGCCACATATAATATCACTAAGCAGTGGAGGCATTTAACTGACATTCATTTTTAAAATTCCTTATTGTACATATTATAGATACCTGTGCATAGAAGTGGAAAGCTAAGGCCATCGGGGGAAAGGGTATGAATAAGAGAATACATATGGAGATGTGACTCTTTGTAGGGATGAAATGTGCTGAATGCAGGCCTGAAAAAAATAAGTCACTTAAATCATTTGCCCTCAATCCAAAGAACACACAGTAGAGTGATCTCTTAGGTGGACAAGCAGCCTTATACTGTACAGTGACGTGGGATGGTGTGAGTCATGATTAATAACACTTTAAATAATGATATATAATCACAAAAGGACAATTCTGTGAGTGTACATGACTTGGACAACAACCTAGATTACCTGACCTTCATGCATCTTTTCCAATGTGTGTCTTCAATGGTGTGGTATGATATGTGGTTAAAGAAAAGTAACAGTAAACAAGACACTGATGAGATTATTAGTTCCGAAAATGAGTTTGTAACTTTGCCCATTCGTATGAAATACATCAGTCATTTTTTTCTCCCCAACAGCCTTTAAAAGACACATTGCTTCAGAGGTGCCTGTTCCTTTCTGTTTTTGTCCAACATTTTCAAACTGAGCTTCAGACATTAGACATACGTACATGATGTAGGAATTTTGATAAAAAATGTAAGCATGTATGTACATGTGAATCCCTTCTCTGTTCTCCTTGGGATGGTCAGAGGAACTGTTCTGAGTGACCCACAGCTTCACTCAGATCCTCCTTAGGTGGGTTGGTCTGTGTTGACAGCTGTGTTGACAAACTCACAAGAGGCATCCCACTCACCAGTTCAGGCCAGTAGTAACTCTGTTTGTTTTGAGCAAGTCCAAAGGCTGCAGCATGTTTCAGGCCTCCTTCAACAATGGCATATCTGTGGAAAACAGATAAAAAGGTAGCATGGGTACAAAGTGGGGACTTAAAATAAGTAAAAAGTGTATATGGAGAGGGTTTTACCATCAGAGTAGTCCATCTCAGAGTCCAGAGAGAGGCTGTGTTGGTCGCTGCCTGCAGACGGCCTACTTTGTGAGGATGAAGGAGCTGTAGCACCTGCGTGCTCCAGAACCCAGGTAGAGGATGAGGGTGAGGGTGATGAGGAAGATGAAGATAGAGGGACAGGGTGGACCACAGCCATCTCTGAATGCTGCTGTTTGAGGGAAGAAGGCCTAGAGGGGCCAGCCTCTGGCGCTGTGGCATGCTGACCCTCGGACAGCACAATCTGGACTCGAGACTCAGAGCTAAGAGCTGAAGCTGAGGCTCCACCACTGTTCACAGCCTCTTCATATGAGGGCAGAGTCACTTGGACTCCTTCAACCATGATGGACACAGGCTGCCCGGACACACCCTGATCACGTCTAGGTGTAAAGGACCAGATGAAAGTTTGAATCTCAATCTCATTGTAAAACGTCTACCATAGCCTCTGGTTTCAATTATAAGATGCTGGTAATGAACAAACATTACTTTGAGGGCCAACTTACCGATGGAGGGATTTGAGTTTTGGCTGCAGAAGTACAAAGAGCACTACAAGAAGCAGGATGAGGGCCACTGAGCTGGCTGTGGATGCTACTATGGACAAGGCGGGCATCCCCAATGGTAAAGTTGGATCACGGTCTGTGAGACATAAACACTTGACTCTGTTATCTGAACAGCACTTTGTATTTGTTTATCTGTTTTAAACGTGTCACCTAATCTTTACCTTGCTCCATGAGGCAGCTGAGCTTCATTTGGCTGTCCCATTCCCCATATTGACAGGTAAGGTATTTGTAGTCTCCCTTCAGAATATAACCTTCATCACAGAAATATTCAATCACAGTGCCATGAGAAAGTCTTTGGCATGGGGAGGGGTGGCAGGTGTAGCCCCCATTCTCTGGCTCATACGGAGGCTTGCATACTGTCCATGGAAAGAAAGAAATACAATGAATATATCAATGTTGTAAGTTGTTTTACTAAGCTATCAGTGCTAAACTGGCCTGAATCCTATTTGACAGACAGTGACTACTTTGTGTCAATTGGTAATTACACGTGATTGTACAAAATGACATATGGAATTACCCAGGGCTCCATTCTTGGGCCTTTTCTATTCAACCTAAAATGACCAGCAATTATGCGGACAACACAAAGGTTAGTATAACAATATTACCATGTGAATATGTTCCCATACCAGCAGTGAATAAGTGCATTGATCCAGTCAATAACTGAATGTGCCAAAATTGTCTCAAGTTAAGCAAAATTAAATACAGAAATCATTGTTTTTGGAGCCAAAGAACAATTCAAAGTCAGTGCTCAGCTTGAATCTTTAAAGACCACAAACTAAGCCAGAAATTTTGGTGTAGTCATGGACTCAGACTTAAATTTTAATAGCCACATTTAAACCATTACAACATCAATGTTGCAGACAATACTTTGTAGAGGTTTGTCTTTACCGTCACTGCGTATACAGCGAGGAGGTTCAGAGGACCAGCGCCCTTGTGCACTGCAGGTGAGGATGCCGGGTCCATCCAGCAGGTAACCAGGGTCACAGCTGTACTCTAGTGGTGTGCCCACAGGGAACAAGCTCCTGTTGGTCTCTGTCAGATTAGTTGAGCCATGCTGCACCATTGACGGCCTTATACAACCTTAAAAATGAGACATTCAAACATTCAAAAATACAGTTAATATCTAATATTTAAACAAATATGGGCTTTTTTTTATATAGCATTGTTGATTAAAGTGTTACAAGGTTCTTTATAAAACAAAATGGTGTAAAACGTTAGAGGTAGAATAAAAAATTTAAATTAAATCATGGTAATAAAAATAAGAATAAAGTCTGTGAGACGGATAAACAGTTGACACTTTTTTTTATTATTTATCTAATAGTTCAAATGTGTGATCTGATCTACCTTTACCTTGCTCCATGAGGCAGCTGATTGGCATTAGGTTGTCCCATTTCCCATACTGACATGTACGGAATCTATAGTCTCCCTTCAGAGCGTAACCGTCATCACAGAAATATTGAATCATGGTGCCATGTGAAAGTCTTCCGCATGGAGAGGGATGGCATGTGTAGCCCCCGTTCTCCAGCTGATATGGAGGCTGGCATACTGTCCATGGAAAGAAAGAAATACAATAAATATATATAAACTCAAGTGCTATATACTGTTTCACTAAGGTGTCAACATCTCATATTGGCGTATCTGCTTCTAATAAAAACTTCCATCCATAGATAGTATGCTACAATCTGGGCAGCATGTTGGTCATAATGTCTATTTTCGCTATCACAGTTGGTGGATGTTGATTTAAGACACATAATGTAGCTTAAAATCACAGATGTAAATTGAAAAACAGAAAATACATACAGCAAGTTTGAAAATGAAATTGAAATTAATATGGGCAACTAAATCAAAAAGAAAAAATAATGAAAAATCCCAAACTGTAATACACCTAAAAATACCAGCTGTTCAATTAGGTTACAGTACATGATGACACCAGGTGTAGAGATGGTTTATGTTGTGTATTTGTATAATGTAATGTAGTACTTCTACTACGTGGAAAGTTGTCTTTACCGTCACTGTGTATACAGCGAGGAGGTTCAGATGACCAGTCTCCCAGTGTGGTGCAGGTGAGGACGCTGGGTCCGGCTGGCAGGTAACCAGGGTCACAGCTGTACTGTAGTACTGTGCCCACAGGAAACAAGCTCCTGTTGGTGTCTGTCAGATTAGTTGAGCCATGCTGCACCATTGAGGGTCTTATACAACCTTAAAAAAGGAAAACAAAAATACAGTTAATATCTGTACTTTTTTAACAATAAATATATAGCATATTTAAAGACAGTGTTACAGTTATAGGTAAATGAGTTTAACAGACAAAAGAGTTAAAAAATATAACAAAAAATATAATAATTAATATAACTAAAAAAGCTTGACATAAAAATGTGTTTTGAAGAAAGTTTAAATTAACTTTCACAGCTGATTGTTAATAGTGTTAAGACTATCTCTTTTTTTTCCAGGCATTATTTTTTCTTGCAGGTGGATGTTTAAGGCCAGTACGTTCTGAAAAACTACGTACTGAAAAATAAAACCAGTGGAGTTTGCATGTTCTCCCTGTCCCCACCTCGTCCTCCCACAGTCCAAAGTCATGCACTGTAGATTGATTAGTAACTCTAAATTGCTCATAGGTGTGAATGTGACGGTGTCATTATGGATAACAAATGAATGAATTAATGAAATGAAAGTTAACGTTTAACAGAAGTTATACTGTTTTGGCAGAGGTCTATGCCAACGTTACCTAGTTCAAGGCAGTTACGTATCCTGTGGTTAATGGTTGGCATGTCTCCTGCCCTGTGATGTCTTTTGTTCAGTCGCAGTTTGAGGTGAGCGTTACTGCTTCTGCACAAGGTCTCATCAACATGATAAAGCAAAATACTCAGCATCACACCCCACACAGCAGATGTCATTGCTGTCACATAGGCAACCCCCCACCCCACCCCTGACCACCACCACCACCACCATTAAATAAGATAATAAGATTGTAAGATAGCAGTTTTTTGATACCTGTATTCTACTTTTTAGTGGAACCCTTTTTCTGTGTCAATACAACTTTTTCCAAAACATGTTTTTAAATGCCATTGTTTCCGTTTTTCATGTCAGGTTTTGTTTTCAATGTCAAATTTTATTTTCAGTGCCAAAATTTTATGTCACTGTTCTAGCCCTATAGCGAGTTTGAGGTCTGACCAACCTTGGCTTACACAACTGATCTGCATGGGGCCGTCCCACTGCCCATCCTGACAGGTCAGGTAGTTATAGTCTCCACTGAGAACGAAGCCCTCATCACAGAAGAACTCGATCACAGTGCCGTGGGAAAACATTCGGCAGGGGGATGGGTGGCAAGTGTAGCCCCCATTCTCGGGTTTGGTGATGGGTAGACATGCTGATGGGTGAAAAAATACAACATATGAAGAACCAGCCCAAGTATAAAAAGTGCTTCTTTGTTGTTGTTGTTTTTAACTTTATATGTTAGTAAAAATGGCTAAAAAAAAAACTTACAACTTGAAAATTACTGAAAGTAAATATTTCTACCTGTGAGAGCTCCTTATTACTTTACAGGTCAGAAAAGACAGTGGTTGACAGCATATCTTACCACCACTGCGTATACAGTGAGGAGGTTCAGAGGACCAGCGTCCCAGCGTGGTGCAGATGAGGATGCTGGGTCCGTCTGGCAGGTAACCAGGGTCACAGCTGTACTGCAGTACTGTGCCCACAGGGAACGAGCCCCTGTTGGTTTCTGTGAGGTTTACCCAGCTGTTCTGGACCATGTATGGCCTCACACATCCTGAGAAGAGAACAAATTCTGTGAAACTTCTCACTACTTTTTCTCAGTAGGATTAGAGCCTTGTTTGAGATATGTTACCCAGTGAAGCCAAAAGTAATACAGACACTTAATGAAACATTGTAACCATCTTACTAGAAAGGCATTTCTTTTTTTCTGTTTTGAACATGGTTGAATACTAGCCCCCCAGACTCAAAATAAGAACATACAAAAGCTTTTAATGTATTCCAACACTTTGGAAGATTGCCTGATATAAATCTGGAACTTTTGAGTTCTTGCTTTAAGTGTAGTTCAATATACAGCAATTCAATTGTACATATATATCATAAGTAGGGATCGACCAATTCTGCATTTTCTGTTTATCTGTATCATTTTTTTTTTTTTAAACTGCTGACAAATTACTTTAAAAAGATGCTTCTTTGGCTCTGATGCTGCCGCCTGTCTCTGCTCTAGACAGCTACCTGTGGTCTGGAGTAATGTAGCGCCCACAGCACCATCTGATTGGTTACACGTCACGAGTAATAGCCTATCACGCTGAAGGCTGCTGTGTACACAGACCGACCGAAACTAGAGCAGTGGCTCCAGTTAATGAGTGGAGCTCTATGTCGAAGGTAAGACAGCAGACATCATTGAAGTTGTGATAAACATCACAATCCTCTACACTGAAGTTACAACATCACCAGACTCTGATGAACAAGTTCATCTGTTGATTCAAGACATACCGAGCAAGAGAGAGAAGCTAGCGCTAACTGCTAAGCTAAAGTAACTAGCTAATCTGAACAGCAAGTAACCCTAAAAGGAGCAGAAAGCTGTGCGTGCTGAAGCAGAACTACTGTAAGTTTAAATGTACAGCGGGTAGTTAGACACTGTGATGAAAAAGGGAAGCATTACCTGTGATAAAATAGAGCAGCAATAAACACTACTAGTATGAGAAACCCCTGGAACTGGAGATGGGACACTACTCTGACTGCAGCACGTCAGTACGTGAACGGCCAATAACTACTGTTACTGAAAGGACATTTTACTACAGTAGAAGTAAAATCACTGAGTAAAAATTTTCTCAGATAAAAGTACAAAGTAAGTCAGTTAAAAAGTCTTTGGGTAAACATGTTACATTTTAAAATGGGGAAGGGGGAAGCATCTTATTTGGTGATATTAATAATAATATATGATAAAACTTAAATTAAAGAACATCTTTAGGCTGCCAGGTGAATCAGTTCACAGGTGAGGACAACACTGAAATCAACCAATTAATTCCAGTCAGGCTCTTTGCAGTCTGTGCATACACCTAATAATTACTAATATACACAGTTGTCAGTTTATTAGGAACATCTAGCTAAAACTGATGCAGAGTATTAAAACAGTCCTGCATTAAATACTGCTTCATGAAGGTTATAATATTTAGTTTGTAATAAAATTGTTTTAGACAGTTGTTTATTCAACTGTATGCTCCTTATGGAGGATGTAGTGTGTGGAGCAGTTGAGCTGTATTACATTATACAGAGGTGTTTCTGTTATTTAGCCTACTTTCACTGATATAAATGGGGTGGACAACGCAATAGAAACACCTGAACGCCACGGTGAGTGTCCTCATACAGCAGTCGTTTTGTGTTGGCATATCAGGTCCAAATATCGGTTATCGGGCTCCTTGATTACCCATAATTGGTATCGGTATTGCTCAGAAAAAACATATCAGTCGATCCCTGGTCATAAGCACACTATGCTAAAAGCACTTGATATTTATACAGCATAATCATGACAAGTAGTTCTGGCACTGTACTGATTCTCAAGATACATATGCTGGGATAAACTGGCACATAATGAAATCAGTGATTAGAGATAGTTGAATTAGTCTCCCATTTGACCTGTATCATGCCAAAACGGATTTGATTTTGTTTGTTCAGCAAAAAAGGTCAGGTTAATTTAATACAGAGATAACCCACAATGCTTTGAATTAAAGGAGGGTGCAACCATAAAGCCTGTCTCTTACCTGACCCTTGCCCAGTGGACACTATGGTCAGTCCCAGCAGTAAAAAGAAAGACCGTTTAGTGGCTGAAGAGTGGGCCCAAAAGGCTTTTGATATTGACTCTATCATTCCATTGCTCATCTTCCCCTGCAGAGTCAACTCAACCTGGAATGAACAGAAAATCAAGTTATTACAAAGGTATAAATATGTCATGATGAAAAGGCAGTCCCCCATAGCCTTGACCATCTGCTGACACCTGCCTGTCGCAGGTACTCTGCAGAGCTTGGGCAGCTGCCAGCGAAATGGGTGGGTGTTTGGGACGGTGGTACAATGACAGAACTGAGAAAAATAGTATTGATACTACAGCCATTTAGCAAGCTAACGTTAATAATAAACGGACACCCAATTCCTTTCATTAATGCCGATATTTATCAATGTCAACGATGCCTTAACTTTAGCTAACTGTGTCTTCAACATATAAAATTGAGCTAACGTTGGTTCTGAATCGTTCCGTCTCCGCGACTACACACCCATTTTCACTTCTTCCTTATTAGCTATGATAGCTAAGTTTGATAATGCTAGAAGGAATAAGGCCAAAAAATAGATGCTGCATTTTACATACCGAGTACATACTGTTGACGATAACTAGCTAGCAACTGTGCTAAAACCTATAATTAATTAACCTCCAACTGCGCACAACAACTGATTTTCAGTTATGTTACCTACCTGGTACAATCAATATTAGCCTTCTTAGGTTGCTAACGCTAGCTAGACATTAAAATGGCTCGTTTGTTAACGTTACCTACCAGAAAAAAATCGGCCTCGAAACCTCCACCTTCGCTTTCTTACACTGCAGTCTTTTATCAACAATACGCCAACTACACCGAAGACATTTAAAATTACTGCGGGAACGACAAAATTATGATTTAACGAGCTGAGCGGTACTACTACAGCTAACCGCTAGCTAGCTCCCTAAAGGCTAACTTGATACCCGCTACGCTAGCTAGCTGCAGCGATTGAAAGATCAGCTGAGCTGCCTCGATTTCATTCGGTAGTCATAGTAACAAACATATTTTCCATAGTAACAACATCCGGGAGTGTTTGCGCCCATAGTTACCAAACCTTTAGCGGAAAACTGTAGAAAGTTTCTGTTGACAAACGTTTTTTTTATTTAGCTAACAGCTATAAAATAAACAAATACGTTTGTTTCTTGAAACACAGCTAAGGAGAACCAAACTATGGAAATTATCAGAGGTAGTTTAGATGACATTTCCCGACCTGCATCGAGTGACCAAACAGGTTGCCGTGTGTCCAGCGTGTCATTACCTCATACTGACAGAATCTGTCCTACAACTCCCTTTGCCCTTGTTGTTTTGACCAACGATGCTGCTGATATTCAGGTAATTAAGTAAAGATGATACATTGGCAGAACTAAAATTGTGATTATTTTCTTAAAAATGTTTACAATTTCCAATAACTTTAGAAAACATTTCCCTGTAGATCCAAAGCAGCTCTGAAGAAACTATAATATGTACCTCAGCCAGCGGTCCTGACCAAGGTAGGTGTTATTTATAATGTGCAATGGAGTGTTTCACTCACTTTTAGTATGGTCCAGTTTTATAATTAAGTTACTCCACACAGTAATGGAATATTTATGCTTCTTTAAGGTCAGTGTCACGTTGATGTTACGGATGAAGAGAAGGAAGATTCAGAACTACAACAAGCCATTGAGGAAATGAAACGACTTGATGAAATACTGTCTGCAAAGATAAGCAAAGAAAAAGAAGTCAAACGTCAAAGGAAAGAACTTCAAACAAAACTCTGGCAAGAACTACTGGTAGGTGTATTCACTCTTCTTACATTACCAGTTCACTGGACCAGCAGCACTGTTTCTGACTACAAAAAGGTGTTCACTCTTTTCACTTATGGTGTGATGTTATACTGTGTATTTTCCCTGCAGCAGAATAAGCCAGAAGGTCGGTCTGAATGTGCCCATGAAGCTTTGAACACAAGGCTGTTTTTGGCCCTTGAAGTACCCAGTGGTAAGCATAAACAACAGTATACAGTATACAGGCAACAGTGTTGAAAAGTGTAGGACATGTAGTCACTGTGAGACATCTAAAATATGTTTTTTATCTTAAAGGGACAGAAGAAGAGGAGGACAGCGACTTTATGCCTGTGTTTGAAACTCAGGTTCCTTACAGTGACCATGACAGGCACAGCCAACATTTGGAGCAGAGTGAGTTAGTGAAAATCAAACATGAAAGAAAATGCAGCACACACATTTTCAGTGTTTCCTTCATGCGTAAAAATATATGTTCTCAGTTGTACTGCCTATATTGCGCACTTGATGGCACCATGAGCTCAAGGAACTTGCATCTGTTATTTTTCCACTGTAGGCTGATGCAGACAGTAGTGCACTAACTCAGATATTACAGCAGTTTTCCAGAGGTGAAAGCAACAATTTACCCACTGTGTGACTCATGAACAATTTACTGATCAAGCTCTTGTGGTTTTCTATGATATTGATCCCTTAAGGAATAAAAAAGTTCTGTTTTTCCCCCAAAACAGCGGCCCAGACTGTGAAGAATTCAATACATTTCTCTGTACAGAGACACTTAGGCAGTCAGCCGCTTGCTATCATGGGGGTTTGAACCTCTTACAATTCTAATGAAGCACAGTCTTCCCACTCTCTATGCCACCTTACAGCATTAGATTAGTCTAAATTTTTAGAAATGATTTATACTTCACCCAGTTTCGAGATTATTTGGGCAGCTGCAAACTTTAATCATGTGGATCAGATGACAGAATAAGAACGCACGACTGAAAAATGACTGCTGCAGAAATTCTGTGATTTTTTTTTCTTTTTAATCAGATTTTGCTAATGGTTATTATTAAAGTTTTAACTTACTTTCTCAATATTTACCTTCTGGAATCTAAAGAGTGGCTTGTCTGACAGGTGAAAAGAGGCCAAGCAGCTCAACAGAATCATTTGAGACTGGGGAAGAGCAATTTGAAGGCAGCCACTGTGAAGCTTCCAAAGGCAAGAAAAAACAGAAGGACTTTGTCAAGAGAAACATTGAGGTATGTCAAAGTTCACGTTGGGCCAAAATGCAGTGCTGCGGTTTAATACATGACTTAGAGCAAGTCTCTTGACTGTTTGTTTTTCCAATGAGGAAAATATTTGTTTGTAGTTCAAAAGAAAGACATATTTTAAGCCTGTTAGAGCACCACTGAAAAGAATAGAAATGTGATGCAAATAATAATTTTCATTGTCTTTTTTCTTTCCAAATGTTGTGTAATGCAATAGCTAGTAAATGGTGAAGGGGGCCAAGTGCTTTTGACCCAGGCAGAGAAAGAGCGTCTGGCTGAGCTCCTCCGAGAAATAGACAAAGAGGAAGAGGACAGTGCCAGAGGCGCAGACAGAGAGGTAGGCTGACATGAAGCGCTAACAGGCAACATATGCTGTAGGACCAGTCTCTCTTTTTCAAGTTCCTTAATACTTCCCCCTCATGTCTACAGGTCTTATGGTGAGCAGCACTGCAGGAGATGATCCCATCCACTGCTTCTGCTACCTTATAGTTACTATATTTAAGATATAGTATGTTAACTGTTTTGTAGAAATATTGTTTTCAGGGTCTACTCACAGCCTTTTAAGGCAGTCTCTGTCTTCAGTTTTATTTTTTTTGGGACCTTATTTGCTGGAATGCGTGTCATTATCTAACATTTGGAACTTTTGAATGATGTTATTGAAGACAGTTTTGAATAACTCAGCCACACTTTGGCCCACAGAATAGCACACACAGAGTAACATTGGTCAGATATTCATGTTTTGATGAGTGCTTGGCAGCTGAGACAGCCTCTGGGCAGAAGATTCTGACTCCTCAGAGCAGTTCTGATTATGAACCAGATGTGAGGTGCCATATGCAGTTCATATGGCACATTTTAAGGATTAGTTTTTTTTATAATCATACAATTTCCTTTTTGGTGTTTCTGTGAAATCCAGAAGCCAGGATCTTTCATATAGCCTTACTATAAGCTGTAGTTGCTCTCATAGTGAGGGTATGCTGATAGAACTTTAAGCCAAAGAGAATGAGGCCTCTTGTTTTCCTCTGATGGCTCTTCATCCTGTACCACCTGGAGCAGTAGACCATTTCACCATAACCTAACTTCAAATGATTTTATTCTCACGTTTAATTTGCTTTAATATCCCTTTTGGCAGCTGTGAGGCCAGTTTGAAGTGAGCTGGGATGAAGCCTGTTGGGGAGTGAGAGGTAGAACATAGTTACCTTTCACATACGGTTCCATTTAGCCTGACCCCGACAGCTCTGCATCCGTGAGACAGCTTGGCAGTGTTTTTTTTTTTTTTTTTTTTTACATCTTGCTACTCTATTTATGATGTTTGCTTTGACTTTTAGAACAATACTGGAGTAATTGTGGCGGCAGATACCAAACTGAGGGAAGTGCAGATGCTCTGGGTTTTTTTATTGGCTCAGAAGAAGACTTCCTGTTATTGCTAGGCCTGCTATTATGAATGGCCATAACGGAGCAAGCACATTATTTATGTCACCAGGACTTTGGCAGTGATCTGTCTTCAGTTCTGAGGACATCACCCAGTTCTTGGCAGAATCCCTCAGGACACATCAACCACAAGCCGCTGCTCACTGTTTTCCGCACACACTTTTTTGATGTTACTGACTGTCATCCTTACAAGCTCCACAGTTTTGTTTAGTTCTGGTCAACTTGGCGCAATAAATCAGTAGCAGTCAGAAATCGTAGAACATTTTGGGGCTGGAGAGGTGGAGCACTGACATTCACCTCTTACCTATAGGCTCAGGTTGATACTATATGAAAGTAGGAACAGTAGTTTTCATTTTGGGGATTTAAGAACAACCATGTGATGATTCTTTTGAAAAATGAACTGACTGATTTTTTCTAGAGAAATCCAGATTTGGCAAAATAATGTAGCAACGTCCCTTCTCCACCTGGGGCTTGTGTTGCATTTCACCCCCCATCTCTCTCCTCTCATTTCTTGTCTGTCTCTGAACCATGGACTGTCCAATGTGCCAAAGAAATCTTAAGGAAGAAGTAGTAATAGTTGTCGAGAGATGATAAGAAGATTGATACCACTCTCATGTCTGTATTAGAACCTGCAGCCAGTTAGCTTCTCACTCAGCAAGGAAGCATAAAAATACACCTCTCAAAATGACCAGGTATTCATTTACAGATGGAATCGATTTAATGTCAACTTAGCTATCATGACTATACCATCAGTGAGACAGAGTAATGCTAAGTAAAGGATGAAAATATATATATATTTTTTTTTTAGGCTGAGCCTACATCTTGTCTTTTAGGTCCATTATAAGTGATGGTGTGATTCTGTAAATCTGTCCATGACATTTTTATGTTCATGTCTGTTTAATACCGTATATATTTTATGCAATAGTCTAAAGACATGTAGACATGAAGACAAAGGGCAAACTGAGGGCTTTCTAACGTCTATGACTGAAGTATGCTGCAAAATCCAAGCAAGCCGCTGCTTGTGTTAGTAGCTCGATCAGAGCAGATCTGTGCATTTGAAACACGACTCGGGATCATAAAATTTTGTGGGCTTCATTTGTTAACTTTTGGCTTTGTGCGGTGCTCCACCTAGTTTACAGACTCTACTGTTTGCTGTTTTCTAATGCCAGTTTTCTTCTCGTCCTCCTGAGAACATTCAAAGGTTGCGGCTGTGTTCTTTGTAGAGTTGTGCTCTTCTTTGGCAAGATAGCCTTGCTGCAAGATCTTACATCACCTTTGGGCCGTGATGAGCTCAGTACCCACCCACTGTTTCCCACAGAATATAATGGGAGTCTCGCTGGGACCCACAATCACTGTGAGGAAGAGACAATTATCAAAGTTTTGGCATTTGACTATACTGTGTGGAGAAGTGAATTCCAAGTGCTAAGCCCTCCCTGTTTCGGACATCACTGTTATAAGGTTGCTGAATAAGCAATAGATGAATACTATTTATCAGTCCCTCATTTAGGTCACCTCAAAATAAAGCAGGCTTATACCCAGTGGACAATGACTTATTTCAGTGATGCTTTTCTTCCAGGAGGACATGTGGGCTGTGTCATTCTTGACAGGCCAAGGTTACACCCCAGAGCCCTCTGACCTGGAGCAGCTGATTGACATTGACTCCAAAATGCGCCTCCTTCTTCCAGCTGAAGAATTTCTCTCGGTTCAGAGCTCCTACACAAACTTTAGTGAGCCCCAGGTATGTTTTCAACAGCACTACAGCACTATAGCAGTGTGTTTTCTCAGAGCGCCATCAGACACCATCCAGGGCTGCTCTGAGATGAGGTCATTATAGGGTCAGCTCAGTAGGGCATCGATGGCAACATCTTGTAAAATCTTTTGTTACTGACCCTCGGGGAGTTACACCCCTATTCGTAAGTGGGAAAAAATAGTACTGTGTAAGATGCTGGAATTAGGAACTGTGGGTTGCCTAATTTTTCCATCCACATTTCCACAATTCCATAGGAAGGCCATATTATAAAGCCTCTGGTGCTTTATTTCCTGCTAGTAAACCTAGTGTAAAAAACGTTCTTAGACTGTTGCTTCATTATTAAAGGGACTTTATTCTTTCCATATGAGCAGTGGTAACATGTTGAGTTAGTCCATGGTTGGATTCTATATTTATCATTTTCATAAATTATCTTTATTGTTTTGTTTTTTTGTCTGTTGCTTAAGTTGCATTTATATATTTAATAAACTTTGAATTAAATTGTACCACTAACGCAAGCCATAATGCTCACCCTTTATATGCTGCACATTGTCTGAGTGATCTGTACATCACTACCACATCAGTGGAGAACCAACTTCACAGATATTTACAACTGTAAAAATTTTCCAGGCCTTGGTCGTGAGGTTGGGCCTGCTCCTAGACATGAGCTCAGTGAGTTATCTCAGGACCTTATCTCACTGCATTTTAATGCCAGATGGCATGCTCATCATTTGTGTAGCCTGTCAGTGGAAAATGTTTGATGTTTTTGAAGTCGTAAAAACTTTATAATGCAGTTTCGAGAACCCAGGGTGCCATTTTCTACTATCACTACTGGATGTAGACAAGGAAAAACTGCAGCACTTGAATACCAGTGCTGGAATAGGGCACGATCTATGTCAAAATGTTGAGAATATTTATGTCACTGGTCTAATTATTTCACTTTCCATTCCCATATATATATATATATATATATATATATATATATATGGAAATGGTAGTAAAACAAAGCTTAACGTTTGAAGTTGAGGTACTGAAGTCATTTATGTTGTGCCCTGCTGGTCTTCAGTGGACCTAGTCTGATAAATCTGCCAGACAGATACAGTGTATCAGCCAACACTGGTATCACTGAGGAAATTAATTATCAGATTATCACTTGTCAGATTTATTAAACTCACAAATATCGATGTTAGTATCGGCCTCAAAAATCCAGTATTAGTGATCCAGTAGTAGAATGGGATGTAGCTTTAGAATAGATCAAAGTAATACGCAAAATTCTGTGTTGCATGTAGGGCTGCAGTGATCAGACAAATAATTTCAGTTCAATTCAGTTGACAAAAAATTAATCTGTACCTACTTTCATAACTGATTAATTATTTAAGTCATTTTTAAAATAAAAATGGCACAAATGTTTTGCTTCTAACTTCTCAAATATGAACATTTGCTGGTGATCTTAGTTTTCTATGACAATAATCTGAATAGTTTGGGATTTTGGACCACTTGACAAAACATCTTGGGTTCTTTTTCACTGATTGATTTCCCTGAAACAATGATTGGATTAATCGATAAAGCAAATAATTGTAGCACTAACAGCACGAAACACTGAGAACATACAGGAGCTGTTTCAGTGTGAAGTACAGAAAGTCGGCCTAGAGATTTGAGAAAATATGATTGAACCCATTGTCTGATGAAGATGGACTGAATCTCAAAAGCCCGGTTTTTACTGCGAGATTTAGCTGCAATCAGTTCCACTGAGAGTTGATTGAGCTCAACCAGATGTGTAGATGATCAATAGTTGAACTCCGGGGAGTGCTTAGATGAAGATGTGACTCATTGCCTCTTGAAATTCCCAGACATCATAAATAAAAGTTTAAACTAGTTATAATGACTGAACTGGTGCTATGGGTGAATGAGTACAACACTGCAATAATCGTGACTGTCGAGTGAGACTTTTTTCAAAATAAGGCAATACTCCCTTGTGCAAAACACTTTGGCACGTGATGTGGAGCCGACTTTTGGCCAATAGTACACAACCATTGACATTACTGGACAGCTGGATGTGTTAGTTTGTGTAACCCACTTTTCCTCCCTTCCCACCCTTTAATCATGTTGTCGGGTTAAAGGAGTTTGAGAAAGTAAAATTCCCCATCATCCATCCATCATCTGCTCTTCATTACTGCTGAAACGTCTAATGCAGGCATGCCTATATGAATTAAACAATGACACAAGACTTTGTGTCGTAAGTAACTGGTTACAGATGATTCACCTTCAGACTGCTAATGACAAACAATTTCAAATTCACTGTATTCTAGTTTTTTCATGTAGTATGTAAGACGGTTGGGGAACACCACACCTGTAGGGCTTAAAAAGTAGCTGTTTTTCTTAAACTACCTTAATTCCTCCTTACTGTTGTGGTGTACATTAAAGATATACAGCACACACAATAAATCTCTCTCAGAGCCAGTCATTCATTCCACATGGGGGACCATAAATCCTAAAGGTGGTCATAAAAGTAAATATGCTTTTGTTTTGCGGTTACCTTTCTTCTCGGGAGCAGCTTGCACCAGTCAGAGTTCCTAACAGAAACCATTTGGACAGCAGCTCAGGAATCTGCTTGTTTGCCTGCTCATTCCAGAGCAGTCTCTAATGTATACAAAAGAGATCATCATATCTCTGTTTCAACACCACTGAAACTGTTTTCCCCTGTGATATTAAATCATGGCCTGGATTTGCACGTTTGTCATTGTCTCTTGCCTTCTGGCTACGTCGGATCGATCATCTGTCACGTTTTACACGGAAGAGGGAATTATTCACGTCTCCCCAGTGAGCACTCGCTCATAAAGGATCAGTCAGGGCTTCAGAATCAGTGACTTCAGAACCTGGCGGCATCCTTTCCCAATAAGTAGTGATTGATATCCTGAGGAGAAAAAAAAAGCAGCCTGTGCATTCCTATGCAGTCATCTTAGTAGTAGCCTCTCTCTGGTTAAGTGAGTTCGTCGATTGAGCCTGTGAGGGTGGATGCAGTATGTGAGGCCTGGCACCAGCCGGTATACTGCCACAGAGGAGAGTCAGCCCCCCATCAGAACCTAATTACAGAGCCCGTGGAGGTGAAGGAGTGCCAGCTCCAGAAAAAGAACAAGGCTTCCCCTTTCATTTGGAGGGATTAACACGTGCAGAACGGCTTCCTTACATATGAAGGCTGCTGTATACTAAATTGAAAGACCAACAGCCCATATATTACTGCTTATCATCTATTTGGAGCAATATATTTTGTACAGAAATATAAGAAAGCGTACTTTGTACTTTTTTTCTACAGGGGAAAATGTCTTGGATAGAGGTCTTCATCTGTGGATTCGGGACTTTAGACTTGCATGTTTAGTGATAAAGCACATATCAGTGCACTGGGATCAGCTATTTGTCCTTGAAGGTCTTTCTCTTTCCGTCTATATAAGGCATTGCAGTGGCAGGTGCATATTGTATCGAAGTGTACTGACTGATAAGGCATAGAAAAATCCATGTCATCGTGCCATTTACCACAGCATCAGTGTTTATGGAAGCACAGTATCACTCATCACATGGCCAAATGGTGAGTCACAGTGAAAGTCTTGATGGGAAAAAGTCTTCCTTTCCTTGCCTCTGGCTCTTCCTTGATGATTTTTGATGATAGGAAAAAGGTCAGGTAGCCACAAACCCGACTTTAATGATCTGGATTGAATGGAATCAAAACACGACTTTAAACACTGTTTTACTTGGACAATTTGAGTATAGTGCTTATGACAGCATCGCTTCTTGTGAATTCTTTATTCTTCTCCCCTATTCTCAGGCTTCAGCTGAAATAGCCTTCCAGTCATTAAAAACATCTGTTGGCACATAACATTAATGTACAGTACACCCCTCCTACTGTACCACTGTGTGGTAATGCCTGCACCACCCACAGCTTGAAGCCAGAAGAGGGGATTCTGTCATGAACATTAGCTGGTGTCGGGTGTTTGGTGACATGGGTGTGTAAGTATTTGTATGTGTGTGTTTCACAGATCAGAGACATATACCATTCTCTCACATGTGGCTTTTTTGAAAGTGTGGTGACAATGAAAATTAATGAACGATATTATGGTTGTAAGTCACTGTCCTGTTGTGTTTGTTCACGTCAGATGCCTCCCTTAATCAACAGGGCTTCAGCTTCTTGTGTGTTTGCATAGTAACTCCAGCTGTGTTTTTGTTGCGTATTGGCTGGCTATATTTTGATGTAAGACGATGAGGTCACTTAGTCACACTGTGTGGTTGCTGATGAGCACCCATGATTTTAACTACAGCAAATGTTAAGTGAGAGAGCAGAGCTTTGGGCAGAAAACGCCCTTTTGACCAACACAATGCGGTCAGCAGACAGTTTGCAAATTTATCTTATTTAGTCCGGTCATATAATTAAACATGTGTGGAAAAGCTTTGGTCACGTTATATTCATCGAAAATGTAGGTTAGTTCTTATTTATACATCACCAAATGCATTAGAATTCATGACATATTCATATTGTTCACTCATGTGATACAGGTAGTATACAGGCAATATACTGCACAAGTATGTGCTTTGACCTCAAAATAAAACCACAACTAGAAAGTAAAAAAAGTAGTAGAACAATATGTTTCTCCTTAATAATGATGGCAGCAGGACGACCCGAAAGACAATTTATCCTCTGTGCTAAGGAAGAAACTGTCCTCTCTGGAATATCTTGTCCATATCCCTAATGAAATATTGAAAATATGCTAATTCACAACAGAAACTCATCACACTAGTAGCCAGCAGTGAAAAAATGTGCTCTTATTGTGTATTAGCATAAAAACACCTAAATTTACCCATTGAAAAAGTCTAATATCTTTGACACCTCTGTGGTTTACATATTTTTCTGATGGCTGGACAGCTGCATGGTGAGAATTTAGATGTCAGGTTTGTCATGTGGCATGCTTGGTGTTTTTCACAAGATTAACTTGGCTAAAAAG